ACCATGTGATTGCCATGTGTACGCCACACCGAATAGCACTAGCTCAAAAGATTTTACACACTAATATATATATAGTACAGCTACATACACTTAACTGAAGGAAAGAAACCTATAGAAAACGGACTGGATATTATTGAAAATACTATTCTAAACAAGAATGTACTACATGTACTACATTACGTTACAATTTCACGAGAGAAATAGAACTCGAGAGGGGAAGAAAAGAAGAAGTGATGAAAATGAAAGAAGACTAATAGCATGAGAGGAATGAAAAGAGCTAAGAAGACAAGAAAAGGGTGTAAAAAGGAAAAGGAAGAGCAAGAGAGAGAGAGAGAGAGATAGCCTTGAGCTTTTGATCGGCTAATGAGTAATAAATGAAACAGATTTTGAGTGGAGTAATTATCTTTCGCCGGAGAACTTGCATAAGGAGCTAAAACTTGATGTTTTTTAAATTAAACATCATGGGGAATAGCAAAAAACGGCTGAGCATTTATTGCACTAATTGCCAGAGGAGCATTCATGTCTTCCACGAGGCCGCACTTTTGGATCAGAGAGCAATTTAATTGTCGGTGGAGCATTGTCTTTTGCGGAGTACTTTTGGGGAGGAGCAACAATTATTGTCGTAGTAGCCTTTGTATTTTACGGGGCACTTTTTTAGCAGAGCAAATGTCGGCGGAGCAATTGTCGGTGTCACCGGAGCAAGTGTCGCTTCACGTGGAACAAATGTCGGCAGAGCAATTGTCGGCAGAGCAAATGTCACCGGAGCAATTGTCGGCAGAGCAAATGTCACCGGAGCAATTGTCGCGTTTTGCGGAGCAAATGTCGGCGGAGCAATTGTCGGCGGAGCAATTGTCGGCGGAGCAAATGTCGGCGGAGCAATTGTCGGCGGAGCAATTGTCGGCGGAGCAAATGTCGGCGGAGCAACTGTCGGCGGAGCAACTGTCGCGGAGCAATCGTCGGCGGAGCATGTGTCATGGAACCAAAAATATATATGAATGTGGAGACAGCTAGGAAAGTCAAGGGCTTTATTGTGCTGCCACCAAAACAGTTATAAAGTATGATAAAGTATTATATTGTTGTTTGAGAAGGTAATTAAAAAAAAAAGCCTAAATAGAGGGGGGGGGGGGGGGGGGGGACAAAAACAAAAACCAGACCATGTACAGAATCAATCTTTATTTATTATGTTTGATTAAAAATGATTTATATCTCCTTTTAAAAACGTTATTTGATGGACTAGATTATATATCTTGAGGTATATTATTTAAGTTTCAATGGATTTCACGCTTCCTTGGGAGGGAACGCTAGATTGAAGCCGATACGGCTTTGACTAGGAGGTTTAGAATTCAAATACACAAAAATTCCATTTGTTAGTATTCTTATCATTATTAAGTAACGTTTCACTATTGAAGTTTTCTATTGAAGTAGTGATCAACACCTAATAGGGCATTTGGTTGAGGTGCGGTATGTGAAGAAAAAAAAGTTATGATAATATCTATGATTCTATTGTTATTTGTTCAACATTACAAATACAATTCTTTTTCATTCTTGTCACTCTTTGGCTGCGTTCATGCTTTAATTTTGAAGGCAGAATGAGCGATCTGAAACGCTCATCGTAAACGCTCATCGTGATCGCAGTTCCACGATGTAGTGTTCATGCTTACTTCTCTGGCTCCCCAGGCAATTCTCCGTGTGTGGCCTTAATTGGTCTTCCAGCTGGATTCGCAAACCTTCACTGTGCATGCTACGTAGACCCACTAGAGGTCAGTGCGTTGACCCCATTTAAACGCGTTTACAAATTGTAAACGCATCTTTTTGTGAGTTTACGATCGGCGATCGTGATCGCCGTTTTTCGGTGATTCTACGAAAGTGAGCTAAGACGCAACCGTGTTTTAAACTAAACGCGTAACAGATGCCTGATTCTGGCCGTCAAAATCAAGCATGAACGCGCCCTTACTACATCAAGCGCTGATATTCTCCTTAAACATTTTCATAAATGTTTTCCTATCTACATATAACCATGTCTGAATGTTCCATAAAATATTCCCATCCTATATTCTGATTCAGATTGAAGTTGCAATGAACAAGCTACAAGCATACATGTACACAGCATACACAGTACACTCAATTGTCTCCTTCAATTATCTTCATGAACATCTAATATATCATTGAGGATGGATCTTAATTACAGTGTCCTTTTTTTATCATGTCAATATTCATATTTCAGCTAAACACATTCTCTTGTCCCCATTTTGATTGTCTTACAACATACATCAGGGAATAATTTTCCCGGTATCGCATCGCAATTTGCGACGCATTTTCAGCCATTTGCTACACATCTTTTTTTTATGAATCGCAATTGCTGCGATGCAAATGCAAACATACATGTTTAAGGGCGGCTCATCACACCTCCGTACAAGTACAAGTGCGAGTGAGAAGCCCGTTTCGCGATCTGAATAATCTGAATTACTAGGCTAGCTCATCACACCTCAGTACAAGTGCGAGTGAGTAGCCCGTTTCGCGATCACCGGCCCTGCAATCAGAATACAGGGCCGGCGATCGCGAAATTGGCTACTTACTCGCACTTGTATGTTTGCATTTACAGCGTAACTACTGTGCGTGAAGTATACTGCAGTCACTCTCTAACCGTGAAGCTTATACACATACACCCATTGTCGCGCAAGCACATGGCATGCTACGATCACCTTCTAACCGCGATTGTTGTTTTGAGGCATGGTTCGCGCGATCATTGCACAATGCAATGACAATGCACGTGGGATCTAATTACATGCATCGCATGTGCGCGATGATCGTACCTGGGAGTTGTTTGTTTACTGTCACTGCAGCAAGTGGCCATATCCATTTGAGGACTAGAAATGTGAGTACACCCACCATGTTTACATGTACATTCATCTTATTGTAGTGGGCTGAAAATGTGCGCTTTGCTATATGAGAAAAAAATTGCGATACAAATTTATCCAACTGCTATGCAAAAATTATTTTGTATAGCAGTTTTGCTATGCAATTTTTTTGCTAAAAATTATTCCCTGTACATTGTAGCTCACATTCACATGAATAGTTTCCTGCTCTGACTCATGACTTGAGAACAACTATTTGGTTTCAATTTTTGTTATTGTTCCTGCAAATATTGATTTTAATGAGGGGGGAAATTTCATGCAGTGAGCCAAGTAATATAACCTCCCGGTTTATGGTTACTTTTTTTTTAAAACTGTTCAAGTGGTAGATTTCAAACACTGTTAGAGGGACAGTTGAGTTCTTGTTTAAAGACTACATGTAAGTCCACTTCAAAAATAATTTGCTTTTAATAGATGCAGAGAAACAGAGCAAAAACAATTTTGAGTAAATCAGATAACTAATAAGGAAGTTATGAATATTTAAAAAAGTATGAAAAAGTATGGAACAATGGAGATCACTACACAAATTACCAATTTGGTTATCACTTTGTGACGTCAAGTCCTCACTATTTATCAATTGCTTTATTTTAATCCCATTAAATTCCCTTTTTATCCCAAAAAACTTGATTTCCCCATGCCTTTACCCAGGTTATATGATTTGTATCATATTGCTTGCATAACATTTCGCAAAATCATTTATAAGATTTGAAGAATTTATACTATGTTCTGAATGTTTTATATTCATAATTATTGATTTTGTATACAAATAGTTTATCAAAATTCACATGTTTCAAGATTTAACTAGAAAAAAAATACTCTTTATTTGTGCACCCACACAAAAACATACTATCAATATAACTTGGATGCTGGTGTGAAGAAATAAGATTCTTAGGGGGGAAACGGGAAATTTATATTATCAATATAAAGAAAACAGTTAGTGGATAGTGAGGCAATGATGTCACAGACTCATGAGTGAGTTGCCAATTTGTCCTGTGATTTTCAAAGTTTTCCCTGTCATTAAAAATTCATAACTTTCTTATTAGTTATCTGATTTTGCTCAAACTTATTTTGATTGGTTTGTCTGATTTCCTGCTTCTATTGAAAGTATTTTTGGGGGAATGGGCTTGCCCTTTAAGTTAGCAAATGCCTTCAACGTGCATATTTATTGCTTTTATTCTCATTTATGACATTTGCAGTGCCCTTTTAGAACCTGAAATTGCTATGAAGGTAATTTTAGACCCTAAAATGTGTGAAATTTAGATTAAATTTGATCATACTAATTCAACGCCACAAGGTGACCGTTAATTCAATATCTTAATAATAATAACAATACATGGGCCCGGCTGGTTGTGCTTATTACAACCAACACAAAAAGCCAACAAAAAGTCAACATTGGCATTGGCTGGTTCAAAATTATAAAATATTTGTGGGGCCACAAATATTAGAAATATGGATATTTCAGCCGTCTCTGAACCGATTTTGATCAAACAAAGATGATTTTGTCATTTAAAGTGTATGGTCTTTCAAAATTGACACTCAATTTTTCATTATCTCACAAAAAAATATTTGGGAAACCCTCTATACCAAATCTCAACTACCCATTGCTGGATACAACCTTAGAGTATGTTTCAAAGTTAAACTTTTGATCTCAATACAAACAACTACAAGCAACTACCATGTCTCTAAAGCACTCTACAGATGCATTATTACCTGATTACCAGATTCAGGCTAGATCGCACACAATGTATGCACATTCTCCACTCCTTGGAGAGCATTCCAGCCACATGCCCCTTTACAGTTGCTCACAATGCTGAGCAAACTACAACAACTTTCGTATCTTACAGGGTACCCATTTAAATGGAGAAAAGCAATATTCATGTACACATAGATAAGATGCCTTGCTCCAAGACATGCCGTGCTGCGCTGGGGTGATTGACCCTATGACCTTTATATCTTCGGGTCACATTTTTAAAGCAATTGATTTCAAAACCTCTATGAAAAAAGTACCTTTGATACATTTTGTAAAAATTAAAATTAAATCCATATCGGATATCCATTCAATGATGGCAATGATCCTGTTAGACTTACGTCATCAACGACATCTTGTGCATGCATGGACTCTGGAAAGAAGGTATAAAGACTCGTCTTCACACCAACATCCTGGGCAAAACGACCTGACGACAAGGCTCTGTTCAATCTGAAAGAAATATGAAAAAAGTATAAAAAAGAAAGAAAAAAAGTTTACCATTTATACAGTGGATAATGTGAATACAATTAACAATGTTCTCATTGAAGCGCAGACAGTGTTATGCACAGTATGACTTTAATATCAATTAAACCAAAGCATCTTTTTGATGAGTAGAAATTTCTCCAACTCTCTTCTGATGTGTGTGAAGGTGAGTATGTGTGTGTGTTTGTGCCTGCTCTCTGTCTCTCTGTCTCTGTTCATCTTTCTTTCTCTGCCTCTCTCACTCGATCATACCCCCTCTCTCTTTTTTCCATTTCTTCCCTCATATCTCATACATTGATATCTTCTTACACTTCAATCACAAAAATATCTCATCCAAGCCCTTGGCTGGAGGCTACGCTCAAAGCTAGAGCTAATCAAGAGTGACTTGGCTTTCCCAGGCTGCATCATTTCAGTTCATGCTTTGAGCAGGCTCTAAACAACATATTCATGCAATCAAACGCATCGCTGCTCATCAAAAGGGTTCTCTAGTCTGAGTCGTCAAGTGGATGTATAATTGATGTGTAAAGACATCATTTAATACCTAACCCACAATTTACTTCATTAATTAACAAATGATCATTTCCAAGAGTTCTAGGTAATTGAAATAAAAATGATTTGGGAGAAAAGATAGGAAGGGAAAGAAAGAGAAAGACAGAAAAGATCAATTGATCGATCGATCAATCGATCAAGGGAGAGAAAGAGGAAGAGAGGAAGAGAGAGGAAGAGAGAGGAAGAGAGAGGGGAGAAAGAGACAGAGAAGAAAGAGACAGAGAAGAAAGAGAGAGAGAGAGGGAGAAAGAGAAGAAAGAGACAGAGAAGAAAGAGAGAGAGAAAGAGAAGAAAGAGACAGAGAAGAAAGAGAGAGAGAGACAGAGAAGAAAGAGACAGAGAAGAAAGAGACAGAGAGAGAGAAAGAGAAGAAAGTGAGAGAGAAAGAGAGAAAGGAAGAGAGAGAGAGAGAGAGAGAGGGAGAGAGAGAGAGAGAGAGAGAGAGAGAGAGAGAGAGAGAGGAGAGAGAGAGAGAGAGAGAGAGAAAGAGAGGGGGGAGAGAGAGAGAGAGAGAGAGAGAGAGAGAGAGGAAAGAGAGAAAGAAGGGAGATTTTAATGAGTTATACATGACATTTAGAATATGACTGAGATGAGGTCAAAATCCACCCAAGTATGGTTCTGCTTGCTAACTTCATAATAAATTATACAAATGTTTGCTGGACTTGGACTACACAACGTACTGATGCCAAAGAGGCTTAGGCAAATATTTGGTAATTTGCTATCTTATAATAAAGAATCCTGCTTGAATATAAGCAAGTCAAAAAAATCAAATAAATACATCTTTTGATATAACAGTAAATCAAACATGGTTTGTGGTTTCATCCTCATAACCCATAACTTCAACCAAAATGTCTTTAAAAACCTTTAAACGTCTTCTAAACTAGAAACAAAAAACAAAAATATCAGACAAACCAGTTTAAAAAAACCAATAAGAAAGTTATGAATTGTTAATGACATGAAAAAGTTTAATGAAAAATGTGAGTTTTTATTAACTTTTTACATTCATTAAAAAAATTATGAATATACAACATTCAGAAAATAGTATAAATTCTATGCACGCAATATGATATAAATCATATAACCTGGGCAAAGGCATGGGGAAATCAAGTTTTTTTGGGGAAAAAAGGGAAATTAATGGGATAAAATATATAAAGCAATTGATAAACAATAACTTAGCACCTTAACTTATAACTTAGCACCTTCTTACCTTCAGGTAGGCTTAATCAATCCTAATGATGTACATGAGCATCATACAAGGCAAATAGACAGTGGATGTTTACGTGTGCCTAGATTTCACACTGATTGTTATAAGTGTAGCCCAATTGTTTCTTCCATATTTGAATGGAATAAGCTAGATAATTCATTGAGAATGGCTTCCTCTGTCAATTCATTTAAGAGATTGTTTAAACAAAGTTGTAATTTGTGAATGGCTCAGCCGTATATACACTACGTGCATGTTCTGTAATATTTACATGACTTATTCACATAATTGCGACTTAATTAATATTTTCCTATTGACATTACTGTTTACTAGGTTTATGATATACGTTTATTTTGCAAACGAGTATTATTTTTGTAACTGTTCTGTATAAATGTTATAAACGATGTAAATATGTTCATTCAGGGCCCCATGGAAGACCACTACTTGCTGGTGAATGGGCTACCCTGTCAAAAGATCAGAAATAAATAAATAAATAAATAGTGAGGCAATGACATCACAAACTGATAACCAAATTGGCAATTTGTGTAGTGATTTCTATTATTCCATAGTTTTTCATACTTTAAAACAATATCATAACTCCCATATTAGTTTATACTCAAATCTTTTTTGCTCTGTTTCTCGTGTTTTTCTACATCTTTTTAAAAGCAATTTATTTTTGAAATGGATTTGGGCTTTAAAGGTTATGAGGACGTTAAGCATTTTGAATACACATGTACTGTAGGATGATAATAGTGTTCAATTTTATACTTCATTTTGGAACATCTGCCAATACAATACTTTTTCTTGTTACCTACCATTGCACTTGTAGCATTCAACAGGTTATATATAAATTTTTGAAATATAAGTTTTAATTCCATCATTGGTAAATAATATGCAATATCCGGTAAACTAAATACAAAATATTATGAAAAAAACCTAAGGGTGCATGCAATGCTATTTGCATTCAATGTCAAATTATGGTTCGAGAGCAATGAATGCAGAGTTGCGTCCTTGATCTAACAGTTTCAGAACTGTGATTCTGAGCTAAAAGCATGTTGTATGAACACAGCTGTAGTGCATTTTGATCTTGATTATAAAGTAAAGTTGCATCCACACAATCACTCTCCCACGGGCAATGGAAGAAAAAAAGCCAAACTTAATCACAATCAATAAAAAAATGACATGTGATTGTGATATTGATCTTTAATGAATCAATAACAGCTTGTGTCATGTGACGTATGTGGTTTTTCACACAAAAATGTATCCAGTTAATGATTACGCTTCATGTACTTCATTGACTTTCCCATTTAAGTTATGTATCGTAAAGTAGCGGTAAAATTTAAATTTTGAAAGGAATTTTTTGACATCCAGAGTAAATGAGATTTTTTGTTGGTTCATTATTTGTATATATGGATAAATATTGATAAATCTATATTAATTTGTAACATATGGTCATAAAAATCAATAGTGTACTGGTAGCTTGAAATTTGGTTAAAATGTACTATGCAAAATCGACATTATCACACAAATCATTTTAAAAAGCATTTTTCTATCTTTACCTGAACACAAGATCATGGCTATCGATTTCTGGGCCGGCGTTGGATCCATTCAAGATGCCCCCACAACCAACCACTGCACAGCGCAGACACTTAGGCCGCTCTTTATCTCCAAACAGAGCTGAGTTGGTGAAGTTTGGATGACTCATAATTCTTCCAAGCTCTGTTTGAAGAAGATGAGAATAAAAAAAAGATAGGAGTGAGATGACATAATGAGATAGAATTGTTAGCTGAGAGCCAGAAGGGCATAACTCGCATCAATTTGGATAGAGTTGATGCCCTTCTTGCTCTATTAAAGTGGATAAAAATAATACTGAAGTCAACAAAATGTATTCTTCATCAGTTGACCTATCCTTTGAAACAATGCTACATTGGTCAACCTAGTCTTTTGTCTTCTTTGTGCATGGCTGATCATCAACAAAATGGAGTTAAGTCTTTTGTCAACTTTGTTTGTTGCTACGGCATGCAGCCAGTGAAAACGAATTTGTTTTATCAAATTATGGAAAATGAAAGCATTACTTTAAACAAACAGAACTTTTTCCTGATTCATTTTTTTTTTATTGAGGTGTCATATAAAAGGGCAGAAAATGAACTTTCTAGAAATGTGATTTTCTCTATATATTTCTATTATCTAGATACCGTCCGCCAAATAACTTTTGGGTATCCTCTCTTCAAATTGTTTTTAATCACCCATGCATAAAATATGCATGATATGAGTTTCGTCAAATGAAAGAGGAGGATCTAAGCTTTACAAATATGTGTCATTTATTAATTATAATTGTGATTAAGCTATGATAAAACATCAATAATTCTCGGTTTTGTTTTTTCTGGGACGCACTGTATTCAGCACTGTGCAGAATCAACAGGGCACAGTATACGTTTTATGCTGCACAAAGATTCAATCAGTTTAATCTTGGCCATCACAAGAAGTGGGTTATTGATGTAGACAAATGCTCATGTACCCTTTACAACTCTTTTCATGTAGGGTCTATGTTATTACCAAAGAAGAAAAAAAGCCAGTCAGTCACTCAATAGTGTCTGACAGTGAAGTCTAGCAAGTAAACAGTTTTCCTTGCATAATTTGAATATGAGGACACTGCTAACGTTTAAATTTCACAGATAGGACATACATGACATATTCATAATTCCTGCAAAGTTCTACAGCATTTGAGGTTGGCTGCAAAAGGGACATAGTACCTTTAAAGGGTAAAAGGTAGAGAGAGACGAGAGAGTTAGAAAGAGGGGAGGGCGGATGGAGAGAGAAAGAGGGGGGGGGGGGATGGAGAGGTATAAAAGAGAGAGAGAGAAGAGAGAGAAGGAGCAAGAGAATGGGGAAGAAGGAGGAACAAGGGGGAGAGGGGGAACAAGGGAAAGAGGGAGGAACAGGGGAAAGAGGGAGGAACAAGGGGAAGGAGAGCAGGAAGGGGGGGATATACATGTAGAAGGAGAAGGCAATCTCATGATTCTTGTCAGCATTCTAGAGTGATTGCAGGAGACAGGTAGTAAGGGAAGATGGAGGATGAATGAGGGATCAAAGGCCAATCTAATAAAAAGGAACTGAAAAAGAGAAAGAGAAAGAGGGAGTATGGGAGAGCATGAGGCAGAAAATGAGAGATATTAAAAAGAGAAGGATAATTATCTATATGATGAAGACAGAGCAACAGAAGGTGAAGGGAAAAATGGATCTGGATTAGGATCATTCTAGAAAGAGAGAAAAAGAGAGAGAAAGAGAGAGAGAGAGAGAGAATGAAATAGCTGGCTCATACAGTACATCAAATCACCATGCCACCCACTGACAGCAAGAAGGGTGTTAACCTGTCAACATAACAGAGAGCCTGACAGAGGAACAATGCCCTTCTTACTCTTAACAATTCTTCTACGAGGAGCAAAACAAAAATCAGATTGCATTTTAAAATTAAAGTTATTTACAGGGAAGAACTTAAGGGCAGAGGCATCTATAGTTATACTTGAATAACATGCACTCGATTCTGCTGGGAACATATTTATGTGCAAGATGACAGATCAGAGAAGGGAGAGAGAGAGAGAGAAGGGAGAGAGAGAGAGAGAGAGAGAGAGAGAAAGAGAAAGAGAAAAAATTAATAGGGGGGGGGGGTAGTGAAAGAAAAAAATGGGAGGAAACGTGAGGTAGAGAGGAAAACAGAGAGAGGTGGCACACATTAACCTAGATATTTTTGTTGTAAAAACCATCTCAAATAGTGGCACAGCAGGGAGACAAGTCTCCTGTCAAGATAAATTTGTCTGTTCAGAGCGACAAAAATAATAATATTAGGTTCTTGTACAGCCCTCATGACTGTCAAACCTGACACTCTGTGCACTCCACAGTTATTACACAGGATATAGCATGGCTGCCGGCATTATGGGGCTCTTTAGCATTTCAAAGAATTAATTCGGGCCACGTACCCATGTACCTCACCTGGGTCAGGTGTGGCAAATGGAGATTGATGCCTTGCTTAAAGACATTGGTGCTGCAGTGGGACTCGAACCGCAAACCATATGATCCACAGTCTAGTGACGTATCCACTAGACCATGACACCTACACATGTATGTGCTTACTGAACTTTTCATTTTCCCAAATCACTCATGCATGACTTTCCAGGCACCATTTTTTACATATCAGATTCGTTTTCATATCTTTCCTTTTCCGGTCCCATCTCCACTTTGCTAGATGCTACAGACTTATAACAAATTGGTCTAGATTGTCCAGGAGATGCGCTTTCATCTGCCGCATAGAAACACAGGCATCAATGCATGCATAGCGTTTTAATAATAGTTCACATTCAAGTATTTTAGCAGACATAGATTTTGCAACAAATCTGATGAAGCAGGAAACTTCAATGGTTTTAAAATCTATATTTTATCTTGACAATCCATCAAAATTTGGGGAGAAAATTACATAAAAATCTAATTTTGTAGATCGCAATCTAGATTGGGTTAGGATATTACTTTCAATTGCATGTCATTATTAGACCAATATGGATGAACATGTATATAACATTGATGAGCTTTATCTTCTTCCTAATAAAGTACCAACAAAGCTCTTCTAGCCACACATTAACATGTAGTTTTTTGGCAGGCACTGTATGTGTGAGCAAAGGGAGGTTTGATATTTGGATGCTCTAAATCCCATAATGCATTAAACTTCCTATATGCATTTGTTTGTAATTATGCCAGGCTTGCAGGCTGTATGAAATCTATTCTTTGAAATATTAGAGCATGTTGTCTGAGAATATTTTGCATTGATGCTGAATATTTTGTCAATAAGTTGATTATGCTATTCCATTCACACTTTCAAAAGTTATTTACTCCAATCCTTAATATGACATATTAGTCAGCTGAAATGTGAGCACAGCTACGGAAGTTAAAAATCTTCACACAACCCTTTATCCACTTGCATTTTTAGGTGATACGTACAAAGTCTACGTATCACCTATTGATTTCGTCAAGATTTTTATTATTAGGTGATACGTACGTAGACGTATCACCTTTTGATTTCGTCAAGATTTTTATTATTTATTTATTATTTATTTATTATTATTCTTCCTCGAATTTGTTCGCAGGATATCTCAAGACTGAATAAAGCCATTGGGTGGTATTCCGGTAGCGCGTACTAAGTTAGCGCATACTAAGTTAGTCCACACTTTTATGGAGTGCCAGTTGCCAACTCATTTATCCTGTACAGATTATTTTAAACCTTCAATGAAAAGTGTCCAAAAAATTAATTTTGCAATGAAATGGGAAGAAAAAGATAATATGAGTATGAACTGAATTTCAACAAAGTCTTTGGTAGATTATCTTTGTCATGAATATTGAAGGAGGAAGATGAAACCTAGCATTCCATAGAAGTGTGAACTAAAATTCTTGTTTAGTCTGGACTTAGTCCCGGCTTAACTTATGAGAATACCACCCATTATCATGAATCTTTCAATGATGATAGATCTTAGTCTAACTTAGAACTGCGTGACTTTTCAAGGACTCAAAGACATCGTGACGTCATCCAAGCGCCATTTTGTGAAAATCAACTAATGATCATATCTTCATAACGGAAAGTAATTCTTCATTCATATTTATCACGATTAAGATCAATATCTGTCCGCTCAATTTTAAGTCAATAAACGTGCGCATACGCGTTCGTGCGCAAAAATTTAAAATGCTCTAAATCGTCTTAAATTTTTTTTGCATACGTTTCAGGCCATTTAAAGAATTTTGAAAAAAAATTGCGCACACGCACATGCGTGCGCGTTTCCGCGCGTACTACCATTTTGCAACATAGAATCGCTGAATTTTCTCTGTCATCATATTTGGCATATTTTTCTAAGCATTTTGATAACTTGTTCAGCTTTTAATAACGCAATGAGCGTCCGTCAAAGTTGGCAGCACGCGCGGATCTGCGTTTTCTTTATCCACAATACATGGACAAAATCATGCCTATACAAAAATCATTGTAACTCTTCAGAAAAGATGGGAACTCCAATATTTTTTTCATACTTGGGTAGATTATGAGTTGGAGATATGATTTCATGTCTCATTTGACCCTCAATTAACTCATAATGTCATCATAATGGCCTCCGAACTTAAAATTTAAATTTGCATATTATGACGTTTGCATATTTTTGGAAAATTGATTGTATCTCTGTAAATATTGAATGTTTTTCTTTCAAATTTATTTTTTGATATGTTCTAGCTGAGATAATTTTCTACAAATGCAGTGTCCATAATTTTCCAGTTTGACAAAGGTATCATGGCGTATTTTTGCGATTAAAGGAGGCATGTCAATTTTTCACATTTTGCGTGTATTGTCTATAGGACATGACTATTTCTCAAAACTGAATTCTACATTTCCGTCTTTTGCGAGCAATATCGATCATATGCCGGGATCATGCTCATATTTCACTTGCAAAGTAGGATTTGAGAATTCCATTTCCCGTTTACGTGTAATCGCTATGGGAAATGTTTGGGTATATCGGTAACGCACTTGACTTCAATTCTCGAGATCCATGGTTCGAGTCCGGGTGTCTCCAACAATAGTTGTCTTCACTTTTTTTTTTTTGACCTTTCACTGTACCATCTCCTTTGATTATTAAAACACGTAGAGTCGCAAATAATGTAATACACAACTCTATTTACTTTATTATTACCCTATT